GCTCCCCGTACGCTTTGGTCCCCGTAGTCCCATTATTGGTTCCTGTGCTCCCAGCCTTTGGTCCCCGTACCCCTATCTCTTAGATTCGGGACCCTCATCCTTGGGTTTCGGGACCTCCGAGGAGTATGGATGGTAATGTTGTCGGCCTCCTGCGGTGATCTGTTCCTGGCGGAGTCCTCGCTCATCAGTCCCGGGAAGAAATGTTTCAGTGACGCAACAAAACCTCCCAAACAGTCCAACCGCCTGCAGCTCTGACAGTGCCGTGTTACATGTACCGCTACTTCACTGTGTCAGGTCCTCATACTTCACTGTGTCAGGTCCTCATACTTCACTGTGTCAGGTCCTCATACTTCACTGTGTCAGGTCCTCATACTTCACTGTGTCAGGTTAATGGAATATTCTGATATCTTTGTTTGGCACACAATGGAAGTTGTCAGATTTCTGGTGATTTCTCTCGCTGGACGTTGTTGTTACTTTTCTCTTTCGTTCTGATATCTGGAAGGAATACTCTCCTCCTTCCCCCATGGACTACCTCCCCCATCCTCCTCACACGTGTTGCCTCTTGTTAGAGTGTAAGCTCCTCTGAGCAGCGGGATCTCGCCCGGCGTTGTACGATATTGATGACTCGGAGATGTGATGGCAGCCGCTGATCGCGATCATTTCCTATAAAGTGATACATTGGCGGAGACACTTATATTGATACATTTCCCAATAGCAGCCGGTCATTGCCGCCCCCCCTCCCCTCCCCCTGCTGTACCCTGAACAACGTGACCCCATTTCTAGGACGGTTGATGGGCGGAGCTGGGAACCTGTCACTCGGGACCCCCCCTCAGAATTCTGAAGGACATTGTAGGGGCCGCTGAGAGTCATTCACCAGGAGCGGCGTGGAGTTTGCTCGGCGTGTTTACCTTGCAGGGCGTGCCGATGTTCCAATGTTTTCTTAGCCTGGGAGATAAAGGAACCCCGGCCCCTAATTCTGGCTATAAATACCCGTATTCGGCTCACCGCCTGCGACATTCAATACCGGCCGGTCCGGCTGAGCAGGTTCTGTGCCGGCCGGTGTGCAATCCGCGTGCCTGATACAGACGATGTTCTGATCACATTCTTGTCTCTGATCCTTCATCCCTCCAACGATTTCACCCCTCCCCCCTCTCCCACCCCAGTACTGGGCAGCCTGCCGCATCCAGATGTCGAGGTACTACAAATCCCAGCATGGACCACCATCCTACTCTGTGGCATGACATGCTGGGGCTTGTAGTTCCTTGATAGAGATGTATTAGATTGAAAGTCTTCGTTTCTTCATCCAGATATTTCCGCCTCATTTGCGATGTTTTGGTGGATTGGTGGTGAAGGGGAAGGTGTTATCGGCGGTGTGTAAGGGTTGCGGCCGGCTTTAAATGGCTCCTGAGGGCCACAAACGTAGAAACAATTTGTCTCATGGACATGGTACTCGCATCTGGTACAAGTTCTTCCCCCATCCCCTGCATAGCGCAAGGAGGGCCGGCATCTGTTGTTGGGGGGGGCGACATCTGTCATGGGGGCAGGGAGGCCCAGCTCCTGGGGTCCAGGAGGGCGGGCCAGTAGTGGGGCAGGGAGGGCTGGCCCCTGGTGTCCAATAGGGCGGGCTGGTTGTG